GTCGGTCTCACCTACATATATGCATTCTCGCTGAACGACGCACAAAACCTCATCTCCAAAAGCGACCCCAATTACAAAGCCAAGTCGCCCATCGCAGTCTTCTAGGCACAAACAGCGGATGTCGCCGACGAGCCCAGGTCACCATGGCATCTTTTCAACCCAGTTCTACCCGTCGCTCATTCCAAGATGCTTTGGACACATAATAATCGTCGCCCAAAAGCCATGGTTATTTGTCGGGAAGATTTCCGCGCGGCGTCGGGCGAAATGATCCAAAGGGAATACCAATGGCGAGATTGGCAACACAATGACGAGGCTAGGTGCTTTGTAAGGGATTCACCAAGCGTGGCGAGCACAACGGGTATCAGATACGCTGCACCAGAGATTCGGGATGCGAAAACAGCACGGGCTCACTAGGAGGAGTGTCAGGACAGGGCTACACTCGCAAGATTTGGGGGTAAGTTTTGACTGCACGAAGTTCATGTCGGTCATATACTGACTTTGTACCTCTACCGCTGCAGTACCCAAAAAAGGAGCTGGAGCACCGCGAGTTCCGAGGCCTCTTCATGGCAAAATCTTCATGCGTTATGCCTGATGGACTCAGAGGACATTTTTCGACTTCTTGCTAGGCTGGTGCGTAATCGAGGGCTCAATGCTTAGTGTTTGTCGTTTTGGACTTTGCGGATGCATGTAGTCATCGACTGATAAAATTCATTCCTGACGCTTACAAACGTTCACGCTAGCTTTGCCATTGCTTCAATAGGTGATTTTCTAATACTATTTATCTAAGTAACATGTTCTTCGATGTTCTTACGTCAACAGCAAACCCGGACACCTACCGGTTCGTTTTTGATGCACTCATCCAGCGACACGACTGGGCAACTTCCACCAGCATCCTGGTGATCATATCGCGAAGCCGCTGATACCCATCATATCACATCGAGTTTCATATTGATGAAAAGTTTTGGAGGTCTCAATTTGCTGACACCTTAGGAGTATGTTCTCAGCGGTGCGAAGAAGCGGAAGGTGGTGACGTCATAGCAGGGCGCGCTCAGGTCGAGCCACGAACCACCACTCTTACACCGTCATTCCCATCACCACAACGCGATGCGCTGGCATTACTCTGACTCTGACGCGTGTTTTATATTTTCACGGGACAATGTGGAATTTAACACGCATTTTACACGTGAGCAGTGGCATCGTGTTCGCGTTCTACGGGTTATTGACTACGAAGCAGTCGCTAAGAGAACGCAGGTCGATGCATCACGTCCTAGCGAGCGCGCCTGCCACTCGACCATGAACCAAACTTGTCGCATGCACATTGCGAAAGCGTTACCGCACGTCGATCACGACACATGACCTCGGCACCACCTTCGCTGCTGCAGGGACATTGTTAGCTTCGAAGGAACTCTGACCGTCGGCCATGATGTCCGGAAAGAGTGAATGGCTGGACTGCAGCGAGAGTTGCTACGTCGGATCTCAGCCTCAAGACCCTGCCTTTTATCAACTCTCCCGTGCGAAAACCCCTTGTTTGTCAGTCAGTCATAACTTCGAAATACTTACACTCGACATATACGCCGCTACATCCTAATCTACCTTGGTGGGCTTGGATACTTCAAAACAATCATCTACAATATGCGCACCCGGCCCGACGTCTGCGAGCGGCTCCGCGGCTGCCCGAACCCGGCTCTCATATATCATGCCCTCTCAGATAAGTGGCTGTGCAGCTACTGCATCGGGGACACGCGAATGGGGCTCCCGTTGTGTACGGAGGATGGCTGGAGACGTGGCAGTTGCGTTGACACCGAAAGTCAGCAATGGTTTTGCGACTTACATGCAGATCGTTGCGAAGCCATTGTTGGGAGACTACAAGGTCAATCTATCGGGAATTCGCATCGCTGTATGCGTATTGGGGCTCTCTATGAGAGCAATCAGCTTGATCGGCACTATTGCACCGAGCATATGCCAGACAATCATGGACTACAAGATACCGAGCCAGTTGCGGACGTAGCGATTAGCCCTCCAACGATCTCGCAGACTCTCAATCTGGACATCTTTTCAACTGTGGTGGATACGGAATGTTGCATTTGTTTCGAGCCACAGCGGAGTATGCGTCGACTTATCGCCTGCAGCCACATGTTCTGTGAAGATTGTCTGTCGAAGCAGGTCAATGGGCCATATGCGAGGGCTCATGACTGTCCGCTTTGTCGGAAAGATATATTCGATCTGAGAAGTACGGAGTAGGAGACAATGTGAGTAGAATGGGGACCGCGGGTGGTTGTATCTCTTAAGATGAGCAGGCTCAAGTTTGAGCACATCAGTTCTTCGTCTTCTGTCGCCTCCATTGCTCTCGCTCCAAACATACTGCGCATTTTCTCAGTCAGTCGTACGAGGCAGTCAGAATCATGTTGGTTACTTTCTCCAGCGCTCTCACTGCTCCCTGTTGCATTATGAGGCTTCCTCGCACCTTGCCGTTAGCGAGCGTGTTTGTTTGCTACTTTAGCCCCACTTATATAGTAAACTTGAGACCTCAACTCCAAATCAAATCCATATTTCTTTGTCTCACCTGCGACAGATACAGAGGACCTCTACAGCAACCGCCACCACAATGGCTCAGCCGGCGACACCAGCCCGCCGCACGTAAGTGTCCCTCCTACTGACGACGTCTATCCTGAACGACATACTAACATGTCCGCATCTCAGGCTCTACAACGACCCCACCTTCTCCGACATCGAGATTCGTCAAATATACAAGGGCCAGGTCAAGGAGTATGATGCTCACAAGGCTGTACTTTGCGCTCACTCTGGGTGGTTCATGGCAGCTTTGACTGGCCGGTTCAAGGTATGTTTCAAAACCCAGACGTGAAGGCACATGGGCCTAACAAGACATCTGCAGGAAGCCTCTTCAGACACCATCGAAGTCCACGAAGACGATCCGGACACCTTTCAAACCATGATGGAATTCTTCTACGAGATGGAGCTCAAGAAATCACCCCCGGGTCGTAACACCGACAGTGTTTTCAAGAGCGACGTGATTCCTCTTATCGCCCTTCACATTCTCGCCGACAAGTACGATGCCAAAAGTCTACAGAAGGCCGCTATGGTTGCTTTCGAGACTCGTAGCGAAGAATCGGGCTCTAAGCCATCGTTAGAGACAACGAAGATGCTGATACACGCATATTACTCAGTTTGCCCAGGAGTTATGGGCGATATGGGTCAAGCTATAGTCAAGTACATCTTCGGATCATACTCCTATTCTCTGAAGGCCGGAAATTACAACACGCTAGCCGTGCAGTACGGTAACTTCGGCGCCGACCTGTTTCTTGTTGGTAGAGCTACTTCAAAGCTCGTTTGCATTAGCCAGTCTTAATATATCTTGAAATACCAACACAGCTAGAAGGCTTATTCGGTGGGGATTTGAAACTGGTGGTTATGGCTTCTAGCATCATGTATGGAAGACGACTATACACAACGTTCTCCGCACTTCAATGAAACCTCTGAAAATCAACGCTCTTGCTCGGTTGTGGCTTGATTCCTGCAGCCGTCGTGTAGTATCCAGAAGTGTAAAGATCGACAAACACAATCCTGTCTCACATATCCAACCGCTGACATCCTTCCCACTGACCCCACAACTTCCGCATAACACCCTGCCTCTCAATCGTATCCTGCAGATCCTTCAGCGCAGCAAGCCGACCACTCCCATCCTTCATCTTCCAATTCCAGCCCTCCGAGCGACCAGCCATGACGAGCTCCCACTTCGCCTTATTGTCAACCGGCTGCGCATGCGCCCCAGGCTCGCTGTAAACCGTGACCACATCGCGAGCTTGCAGGAAAGCAAAGTTGGATGTACCCTGCATGCATTCGCGGATCTCGAGGACCTTGAGGGCGAGATGCGGGTTGTAGACGCGCGCAGTGTCTAGTCATGTTAGTTTCGTATCAGTGAAGTGACAATGTGACAACGTACTGAGGATACCAATCTTCATCTCATCAGCCACATCCGCAACAGCGACTTCCTTCTCCTCGTGACCCGTCTTCTCAACCATCCTCACGTTGATCTGGCGACCGCCCACCTTGCTCCAACACAGCTCTTGCACCGCGCGCTCTGCCTCTCCCTCCCCGGTGATCTTGATGAATGTGCGTAGCGGGTAAGCGAGGTTCTTGACGTTGGGGAGCGCGAAGTCAGGCGAGATTGTGAAGTCCTGGAAGAGTAAGATCACGTCTCGGTGGGTGAGCTTTGGTGGGTAATTGGAGAGCTCGATGGTGGTCCAGGACATGTTGGAGAGTGAGGGTGTGGGAGAGGGGGTTGGTGTTGGTGGTGTAATTGTTATGGTGATTGGGTGAGGGAGGAGAATTCGAGGTGGGGCGAGGCGGTCTAGGTGTAGTGAGCGAACGGTCTTGGTGAAGATCTGGTGAGCGAGATTGGTCGGCTCGCCCGTTTGCGCTTGCGATGGGAACATTGTATACTACTTCTGATGGTTAGTAGTGTTAAGAGAAATGCTATTCAATCGCAAAGAGATTCTGGTATTGCGGTTGTGTGAGAGGCTGGGATGCTAGGTTCAAGACCGCTCGAAGTTTACTATCTACTAGATGATAATATCCTCAGTCACTTTCACATCGAACTCGCTTTCACCACTTCAATTGAGGAACGGTGGGAAGGAGAAAAGAGCTTAGAGTTATGACGTATTCAGGCAACTACATCGTCTTTCCATAGGTATATCTCAGTGATGATCAAGGAGTGTGTCGATAGTCAGACTACCAACACCTTACTGTCGTCCACTACAAATGGCTGTGAAGCTACCAGGCACCCGTATCGTTGAGACTTCCGCTTTCAATTGATCTCATGTAGTCCGTAACCCGACTTGATCTTTTTGGTGAAGGGGAGGAGTGAGGAGGAGGCGCGTGCCCACGTGGGCTCGTGAAGTGGGGCCATGATGTGACGCGTAGCAACCCATTCGTCGCACAACCTATCGACACCACTCCCAACCGCGAACAGCAACGACAAGATGGAGAGCGTCTACATACCGCCACACCTTCGGAAGAAGGTAGAACCCACAACGGTATCAGACGCGCCACCAACACCCGTCGCAATACCATCAGTGGTGCCCAGCTCAAGGCCGCAAGAACGATTCGATGACGACTTGTACACCGTCCAGGAAATTCACACCTACTTCTGGGGAGACGGAGCCGTCGCCGAAGATTCGCATAACGCTACCCTCCATTCGTCAGCGGCGAATTCGAACGGTCTATCGTGGGTGCTGTTGTTCAATGGCGCGAACCCGAAGTGGGACGAGGACGGGGCCATCTTTGTCAAGAGCAACCTGAACCTTCTCACGGCAACCAAACCCTCTTCCGAGCCTAAATCAGTAATCGCCATCGCAGTACCCACACAACGATTAGACGAACCGGGTGAGGACGGAGGTGTCATGCTACCGACGAGCAGCGAACTCGCAGACGAGGATTACGAGGAGAGTTCATCGAGTGGAACACTGGAGCCCGCCACCACTGAGCCGCTATCAGATCATCCCAACGAGAGAGTTCTCATCGACTACTCTCCAATCGCCGTCTTCTCTCAGCCTGTCGGACGTGCCAGTCGATCATTCAAGTTCATCGGATGGTATGAGATAGAACACTTGCAAATCCTCAAGCCTGGTTCCCAAGGGCTGCTTCACATGTTGTGGGACAAGTGGAACCCGAAGGACAAACACGGTAACTATGTACCAAGACAGCGAGGCTCCGGCAATTGGATGAAGAGCATGTCTTACTCGTGGGCTGTTGTCCAGATGAAGAAAGACGAAGAAGCTATGAGCAGCAAGGGTGAACCAAAGATTGCGAGAAGGGAGAATAACGAGGGTATGACAGGAGAGGGCGAAGGACAGAGCGTCAATGAGATGCTTGCCAAGATGAGGCTCGAAGGAGAAGCCAAAGAGGTGGCGCCCAAGGAAGAGGAGACTTGAGAACTCTTGCTGCGGACCGATCTGTATCTGACCAGATGGTAGAGGATGATATCGCACAGTAGCGATGGGCGCAGATGCGATGATGGATGAGGTAATGTCGACATTAGACAGTCGTTGAAGCAATGCCACCGACCTTGCAGTCATTTGATCAATATCAGAAGCCCTCTAGAGCTTTATGCACCACGACACCCTCCCGAAGATACCCGTGCTTTCGTCCATGATCTCTCTCATCTGTTCACTCTTTAATGTTCCGGATATTTGTCCTCGATAAGATAGAAGAAGGTAGAGAAGTGGCATGAGTGATGTTTAGCCGGATGAGGCAGCCGTGTCCAAGATGCGGAGGTCGACGCGCTCCGATTGGTAGTGTCGGAGAAGGCCGATGGTGGGGCTGCCGCGGGGTATCGTCACCACTTGGGACACTATTGCCGTCCGGCTCATTGCTTATCGGCATTTCTTTCGTTTTCAATTCTTTCTCCTTATTGCGTACGCTTCTGTTTGTATTCTGAGCCCTCCTCTCGTTGTCTTCATACTACAGCCGTCTCCTTTCCCCGAAATAACAGCGCCGATCGCAGAGCAGCATCCCACCTCGCCCCCACCTCCCCCTGAACGCGACGAAATGACCGAGTCAATCCCCAAAATGCAGACCGCAGGCTGGATCCAAGACCCCGGTCCGGATTGCGTCCTCCAGATCCGCAACGATGTACAGGTCCAAACCCCTTCGGCCGGCGAACTCCTCGTAAAGCTCGAATACAGCGGCATATGCCACAGCGACTGCCACAACCTCGTTTCGCCTGGCAAATACACTGAAGTGCCCGGTCATGAAGGCGTGGGTACTGTGGTATCGCTTGGCCAAGGAGTGTCAGATGATCTGCTGGGAAAGAGAGTAGGCATAAAGTGGCTTTGGAACGCATGCAAGACGTGCAGTAGCTGCAAGCAGGGCAAAGAGAACCACTGCGCCAAGCAGAAGAATACTGGAAGAAGTGTCTGGGGTACTCTACAGCAGTACGTGGTCGCAGATGCCGAATTCGTTACTATGATACCGGAAGGAGTCAAGAGCGAGATCGCAGCGCCACTACTCTGCGCAGGTCTTAGTCTTGCAGGCGCCGTGTCGAAACTTACACCCGAGGTCAACCCCGGTGACTTCGTAGCGATCATCGGTGCTGGAGGAGGTCTTGGACATATCGGTGTGCAGATTGCTACAATCAAGGGATACAAAGTCATTGCGATTGACAGTGGTGCCGAGAAGGAGAAGCTGACCAAGGAGATGGGCGCCGTAGCTTTCGTGGACTACGCCAAGCAAGATGTGTTGCAAGCCGTGCGAGATCTGACAGACGGAGAGGGTGCGCATGGTGTTATCTGTGTTGCAGGCAGTGAAAGGGCGTATCTCCAAGCTCCGGCTTTGGCGAGGAACAGTGGCGTGTTTGTTTGCGTGGGGCTTCCACCGGATACGTTCATGTTCCCTATGAGCCCGATCCATATCGCTAACAGAGGTTTGTCTTCACCATATCGATTCAGCTAAGCATCATGCTAACATGCTCAGGTCTTGTCATCAGAGGATCCTCAACCGGTAGCGCCAAGCAAATGGACGAGCTGCTACAGATGGCTTTGCAGGGCAAGATCACACCGAAGGTCGAAGTTTACGACTTTGCCGACTCTCCGAAGATTCTTCAGGAGTTGCAGCGTTATGAGGTTACGGGTAGGAAGGTGGTACGGGCACCGTAAAAGTGTTATCAAGATTTTCGGAGCGTAGTGGTTGAGCGCATGCATTGGGGTGGTGTTTCGCATGTGCACAGTGTAGCGTTGAGGCTGCTCAAAGCACGGGGTTTAGCATGTAACAGCATGGGATCGATGCATGAAGAGGAGTTGAGGGCTTGTGGTGGAGTAGAGGGTAGGTTAAAGGCGCAATGTGATACCCTTGTAGAAGATTAGGGTTGTAGGGGAGCGCGGTTCTGACGAATGCACTATCCTGAGCTCGCTAAGGCGCTATGCGGGTCGTCTGTACATCACCATGCTATCGCGTACATTAATCATTACATGAATGTCGACTAATACCAGTCTCCGCTCTCTTCGTTTGCCTTCACGTCCATAGGATTCATACTCATGATCCGCTGCCCGGGTATCGTATCCGTGAACGCACTCTCAAAAACACCACTAACAGCTCTTCGCCCAATCTCCTTGAAACTGTCGTATTCCTGATTATCGCCAGTGATGGCACTCCATTCAGGGTCCTCAGGGCTGCGCGCAGGGCCTAGATCGCTCCATCGCGTTACGATGAGAGCCTGCTTGAAGCGTTCAGGGCCGTTGCCGCGCACACTCTTATCTTCAACGAGTTTGAGTTCGAATAGGTATTCGGTCGGGCATCTGGGACATCGGCGCATCGGTCGGCATATGGAACAGAGATTGACCATGCCAACAGCCTTCTTTCCTATACTGCGTTCGCGGAACTTGTCAAGTGCGGTCGTTTCAGATTCGTGGGTATGAGGAATATGCGACAATGCGCATTTAGGTATCGATGTTAGCAGCCCGTGCTTCCAATGTGCGCAAACGCTGAAGTAGGGGGTGAAGTCTCCACGGCTGAACAAAAGCATACGCTTTGCTGCATCTGTCATACCCCCTTCTACGTACTGTTGCGATCGGATGCGCATCAATAGGTGACCTTTATCGGTAATGTGATAGGTAGAATCATGCCTCCAGGTCGAATAGGTGTCTTTCCAACGGCGGCCTAGCGACTGGTGAGGAATACCGTAATCTGCGCCGTAGGCCCAATGGCGTCGGGCTAGTTGAGCGAATGCGAACGGTAATGTGCGACCATCGCTGATACGGAGCCTTGGTGGAGGAATGTGAACGTTGGTTCGGTTGGGGCACTCAAAGAGTGGATTGAGAACATTGGGAGGTTTCATTGTCTCCATACCAGGCTGAATGCGCAAATGCCACTGTGCGCATGGGAAACAGAAAAGATGGCGTGGCATCTTGTGGTCCATGGAAAGTAGAAAGTCGAGCCGTTGCGGCCGATGGCGCGGATCCATGAGCAATTTGTATGGGTGTCTACCTAGTCGAGCGTACATGGTCCGGCATGTAGAGGATAGATTGGCGACGTCGAGTGGGGATAGGAAGTCTGCAACATGGAGCCATACTTCAGGTGATGCGCTGCCGAGTAACGCTGTTCCGTCAGGCTTCGTAGGATCATAGAGTAAAGATACATCATCTCGTTCTTCCTCGATTGTATCGACACCATCAATGTATGTGAAAGCATGCATCATGTCTGTCAAATCTTTCCTTTCTCCGGTGTCTTTGTCAAGAATATCATCGACCCTGACATGCTTTGAAGGCGCGCGATGAGACTTGGTCAGCTTTGAAGGCTGCGATCTCGATGGCGCGTATGGTAGAGTCTGTTCATTGCCCGACTGTGGTATTGATGCCGATCTCGAGCTGTGTGATTGATACAAAGGTGCGGCATATTGTGGTTGTCCTTCTGAGTTGCGGCGGTAATCGGCCGGTTGTTGCCCAGGTTGTAGGTAGGCGTTGCTGGTATCCATCAGAGCATTAACAGCAGCATATGGATGATCACGCAACGCATGCGGTGCGAGACCAGTGATATCTTCATTGGTAGGTAAGCCAAAACTGTTGTCTGAGAGATCGGTTCTCTCGTTCGTGAAGCTGCCAGAATCTTGGCGGTTGGGGATCGTCACGTTGGTGGTTGAGTCAAGCTTTCCGAGCATATCGCTTCGTGATCCCTTCTTGGAAAGTTTCTTCCGCGTAGCCGGCTCTTTTGGTTGTTTCCCTGATCGCATGCCAAACATGGCGCGTAAGCCACCTTTCTTCGTTTCTCGTTCCGCCATAGTGGAGACAGCCGCAGCTAGTTGTGCAGGTGATCAGGGGATGTCGCTGCGCTCAAGACGGGGATGAGGCTCGGTCGATATGGATGATGGGTAATTTGGTATGCGCAGGTGTTACTGATACGATTCCCCAGAGAAATGGTTTGTCAAACGATGTTTATCGAAATTGCAGCAGGGTGGATGATCATCGTCATAGCGTGGCGGCTCGTTTCGGCAGAGGATCCGTACTCATCCGCTCAATTCGTCCACTAGTGAGCTCAGTCTGTGGGTACGCGTGTCGTCATGAATGAAGTGTGCATGCGATGAGGTGCAGTCCAGACCGCTTAAAGATCACGATGTTAAAGCTGGCAGTGCGCGCGATGGGATTGTGGGCACGCGTAAGGTGCGCGACATGCATTGACCATCTGACGTAATCCGCTAGAGGTTTGCCGATCCCCTACAGTCCCCACCAGACCCAACCTCTTCGTCAAGGAAGAACAGCATGCGCCTTTGACCCGACTACAGCCCGGTCTCCTTTTGCGCCTTATGGGCAGTAGCTCCCCACTTCTCATTGAGAGCAGATGGCAGTTCGGATTACTTGAGCACGTTCGAAAGCGGCGCACATGGACGACCAGTTGATCGGAGCATTTGTTCGAATTGGCGGATTTTAGACGTCCGAAGCAGATGAGCATGTACAGCATTTGCACACGGAAATTGAGCATCGCAAAGACCCGATCAGGAGTGCGAAAGGACTGTCGCTCCAGATACACTCGCTCTTGTCCACCGCGATAACCATTGCCAGCTAAACCTTCCTCCTTTTCTTGCCAATCCTCTGTACGTCGAAACAACCGGCCCGAGCGATCTGAACCCACGTTCCCGTACGAATATATCAGTCGATATCGAGCTTGGAGACAGCCCCCGAAAGCTCATCTTCCTGAAGCCCATCGCCCGCAGGCTGTGTTGTAGGACGTCGCACGATTCTACCCAGGTCTCGGCGGAGAACCTCGATGGCATCGCGATCCTGTACTGACTGCACACAGCTATGAATACTGAGATCATGTAGCAGAGCCGTCAATCGACCACATTGATGAGTATCAGCCATATCGTCAAGCGCCGGCGCAACAGAACGGATAAAGCCGACCAGTATCTGCAGGTTCTGGTTCAAGAAAAGATGCTCTGACTGCATTATGACCTCTATCATGTCGAGCGTAACGGTCTGTACCCATGTTGGAGCGTCAATCTTCATGGCTTCGGAGATGCTCTTGAGCAAACGTTCGATAGCTGGCAATTCCCAAGCCGGTGTTGTGGTGAACAGCTTCCAGCTAGTTTTGATCTCCTGGTCGAGCTTCTGAAGTGGAACGAGGCTGAATCGGCCCTGGCTGTATACGTAATCGAACTCAGGAGAGTCTATATGCTCGACCACAGTGTCCTCCGTATGTTTCTGGTAGAGGTCGGACCGTCCCATTTCATGGCACATGAGCTCTAGTTCGGCCTTATCCTCATTCGTCCTTTCATATTCTGCCTCTTTCAAAGCTTGTAGGATGTCTGATACGCGGCTAGATTTCGAGTTCGCATCTGTGGTGTCAAGCAGAGGGATAACTTTGTAAGCGAATGTAGAGAAGTTGTCGTAGTTGTTGTAAAACGGCAGGTAGGGTGACGTAGCCATCTTCTCCAATAGACCGCAACCCAGCTTCTTCGCTATAACCAAACCGCGTTGTCCGATCGAAGAGGCTCTGAGAAGGCACAGTGAGAACTCCAGTACGTTGACAGATCCAGGTGCCCATTCTGACTTGGCAGTGAACTGTCTAGCAACTTCAAGAATGTACACGCCGGCGATGTCAGCGCCCGTGGTCCTCTTAACGTTGAAGACGTCGAGCTCCAGATTCGGATCGATTGCGGTGAAGAGTGCCCTAGTGCCGTCAACTTAGCCGTGGACTTATTACATCATGACTGATATCTTACCTGTAGAACTTGACGCCTATTGCTATGGCCCAGCTCGATCGACTCACAATCCTGGCGTTGACGACTTCAACGAGGCGGTGAAGTTTCAGTAAGTCTCTACCGACAAGAGCTAGGATCAGCTCGACTTGGGCGCGTACCACGCCGTCCGGGGTCTGACCATCGATGGAGGCAACGATGTCGCGGACAGCGTCAATGAAATCGAAATGCTCTTGGTATACGTCGCTTGGAAGCTGCGCGGACACGTCGACAGGTGACGACGTAGCTGCAGCCATTTTGTTGTAATGCCTGGACGCGTGAGATCAGTAATGTGTGCGAGATAATTCTACGCGTCGAGGTGGTGCGACTCGACACAGTAGGCAGGAGCAAAGGATGAAGGCTTGGCGTTGGGCGCAGGGTCAGGGTCAAGCACACTGGCGGCGAAGGTGCGGCTACGATAGTGACACATGGTAGTAGTACATTGGCTGCTGAGAATAATCGCAGCAACCAACTATCCGATGTGCTTCTATAGTACAAGACGCCAAACCTGTCCGCCAACCGTGTATGATAATCAAGCCTTCCACAATTTGCGTTATGTCAGATCTTTGCTTTCACATGGCCCAACCCTTCTCCCTCAGTGCGATGAGTCCCGTAACCTTGATCTTTGACATGAGATCCTCATCCGCCATCACTGTGCGCTCCCGCACCTTCTCCAGAACCCGTGTGAGCTCCGATTCAGTAGTAGGATTCTCATCCAGTCCACGCGCAATGAACTCCACGTACTCGCTGAAGAGGTCGACATTGTTGCTGCTGTACAGATGCTCTGCATTGACCATCATGTCTAGGATCCAGATGTTTGTCTTATGTGACATGAGAAGAGGTGATGAATTTGCGTCGGCTTCAGAGGTAGAGGTACGAAGTCACTATATGTCCCACATGCACTTCGTAGAGGCAAGACTTACCTAGTTCAGCGAGGAGCCACATGCGCGGTTGGCACCATGCGGCTTTCTGCATATCGGCGACGAAGTCGTCTAGCGAGCGCTGGTAGACGTAGTGTTGGACGAGACGCGCGCCGGAGCGTAGCTTGTTGTTGCCATCGGGGAGTACGTTTGGGTCGGCCAGTGTTGCTGGGATAAGAAGGCAGAGATAGTTCAGCAGCTTGACTGCGACGTATACCCAGTTCCTGTCCTCCATGGCACTCGCGTAGATAATTTCGACCGTGTATTTCAGCTTGTGTGGGTCCGCGTCGATATTGGCGGTCACCTCGCGCATGACGGCTTCGGCAGTCTCGTCCAGTACGTTCAGTGGGATGTTGAATATCAAGTGGACGACCGCCATGCGGAACATATCCGTAAACACGAGCGAAGGAGCGATAGGGAAGGCGTTCATGTTGGATGGAGAGGAGTGTAGGTGTTGTGGTATTGTGGATGTTGAGAGGTTGGTGTGAGCAAGTTTTAGGCAGGCAGCAAGCTTTGCACTGGAGCCTCTTCGACGTCGCACAAATCGTCCCAACAGGGTCTTTTGACTAATGCAAATTCAATATGACTTTGTTGCTCTCAGAAGAGATTTTCTTCAGCTTCTCGACCTCCACGTTGAGTTGCGCGCGATCATATAGTCCTTGCTTTGAATGGCCTTCCAGATGCCCCAAAACCCGCCTAATGGCCAGATACCTCTCAGCTTCAAACCTATATCCTTATTTGCCATACTCGTGTACTTCTCGATATCGACATGCACTTTGTCATACACCTCAGGCAGCATCTCGGCGTTGTACTTCTTCCTCAGCCCTTGGTGCCACTTCTGGTCGAATTGTGCCCAGAAGTCGTCTTTGCTATAGTAGGTCTGCGCATACAGCCACTTCATACCGCCCATCTCGCCAAGCGTCTTCTCAAGCGCGCGGTTCTTCTGCAAGTAGGTGACAGGATCTTTAGGACCAAAACCCCAAAGACCAATATTGAGCATTTGGTCTGACTTCAGCGCGCCTTTGGTGTGAGGGTGCATAGTCGGTTGGGGGCTTTGCTTTAACGGGCAGAGCCAAAGAGGCCAGATGTCGAACGTCTTGTCGGTGTAATCGATAAACTTTTCGGCGTTAGGGTAGGGTAAAGCCATATCTTGGACGATGTAGCGTGTCGCAATACCGGACGCATGAAGAGCTCGGTAAAGCATGCGCGTATGGAGGAAGTCGTCCAGGAACCAGCGAGTGTACTTGTTGAAGGGAAAGCGCATGTAGCTGAAAGCCGACCGACCGACCCAAAAGCCACCACGGTCGTAGCGGAACATGTACTCAGCTAAGGGGATGTACTCCACCACTGGCTTGGTAGAATTCCGTGTAGCGGCTTCAACATGCAGATAGAACCACGGATCCCACGGGTTACTGAAAGTCTGCGGCTTAGTGTTGGGTGGCAGATCATCTGTCATTTCACCTGTGACGATCGCACCGTATTCCTTGCTGAACAAGACGCCATCAACATAGTCGTTCCTCTCGCCTTTCTCACCACGTGTATGGTCTTCGACTTCCTTGACAGCTTGAGCAACGCTACGTGTAGGATAGTATGTTGTCTTGACATATTTCTTGGCCTCGATGAGCTTCAAATCGACAAGCGTAGTAACCCCCAAGGTACCGACAGCGCCAGCAGCGCCTCTGAACAGGTCCTCATTCTTCTTTTCGCTAGCTTTGACGACCTCACCGTCGGCCATGACCATCTCTACCTCATTGATAGTGCGATCGAAGAACCCAAACTTAAAGCTACTACTCTCGCCAGCTGTGCCCGCATACCCGCCACCAACAGTGATACCAGGGAACTCCATCACGACGGGTGGCACAAGACCGTGCGGTAGCGTAGCTTCTACAAGCCGATCCATAGGTACGTTTGGCTCGACAAGAGCTGTCTTGCTTTCCGTATCAACGCTTATGACATTCCGAAGAGCGCTGATATCTACGACGTGCTTCTTGAGATTCGGACGCGTGCTGTTTGTCGAGCCGTGAGATATCCGGAAGGGCTCTTTGCGCGTAAAGTAATCCTTGACTTTGGACGCGACTTGCGCAACGACGCGCTGATGGCGATCCATCTTTGAGGGAGAAATGAGAAATGAGAACGCCTGGAAATGCCAATGCTATTGATACATGATGTGAACTTTCGATGTGTGGTTGAGGGTGCGCGACTGCCGGTCGAAGTCGGTACAGACGCAGATTTTCTCCGATGCGCTAAACTTCGCTCATCTGGCTAGCGCTTCCTGAACACCTTCCACCCTGATCACATCACTTCTGTCGCTCACGTCTTGTCACTACTCCGATGTCGTCTGCATTCTATACGCAACCCATTCCCGCCAACTGTGCTCAAGCGTTGCTTGCTATCACGATCTGATGAGCTTACGGCATCACCTAGAGAGCCTCGACATACGGCCGGTCTATGACCTCATGATGTCTTTGGAAAAGAAAGGCGAGAGATGTCCTACGCAAGGGAGCAAACGAACGGGCGTGGAGTTGATACTGTGGAGACCCTCTCTGCGATACGGTATAGCCTGTCATCGCTGTATTGTATGCACCGTCGCGGTACCATAGCCTAGGGACACATTCTTCCTGAAATGGTTTAGGCCGTTCCCAGGCGAACTTATCGCATACGTCCTTAGAGCTGACAACAAGTCATATCTTGCGACAACGCGTCCCTTCGTATTCATCACCGCCGTTCCGCTTGATTGCCAAGATGACTCCTCTTTTCGGCTTGCACTCCTTATCATTTGCCGCCATTTGTGCTCCCTGCGGAGGTTACATCGGCCTTGCAGAAGCGGGGCGAGTAACAAACGGCCAAGACATGGTATCTTAATGCTGTGATATGTCCACGACACCGAATTGAGTGCGCGATCTTTTGTATCGTCTCGTAACGACAATGTTGATGTTGGTGTTGTCGCAGTTGATCCGCCTCGTTACCGCGCTACAGCCTCTTCCGCCTGTCTTACCACGCTACAGCAACAGCGATGACTTCGGCTTCTCTATCGGCACGGCCGCGAGAAAGATATACGTCGACAGAAGTTTCGCCACAAAGAAAGACTCTGAAGGTCTAACGCTCATACCACCAACTGCCTATGAGTTCGCTGAAACGTTCCGCACCGACATCTCATCACTATTTGGTGGTTCCTGGACTCTGGAGCAAGTAGACGACTTCCCACTCACTGGTATTCATATCGGCCCGATTCGAGACAGCAATCACTCATTGACATACGATAATGGTCAGCCTACAGAAGAAGGATACGAGCTTGAAGTGACCAACGGTACTGTATACATAGGCGGAGCAGGTGCGAGAGGCATGTTCTGGGCAACGCGCACCCTACTGCAGAAGCTCTTGATCGACAACGGCTCTCTTGTGGCGGGTCGGATAGTCGATGCGCCTGCATACAGCACACGAGGGTTCATGCTCGACGCGGGTCGTAAGTGGTACGATAAGAACTTCCTGAAAGAGCTGTGCACATATGCCTCTTTCTTCAAAATGTCAGAGTTCCACTATCACTCTAGCGACAATTATCCCTTGAACCGTGGTCGCAATGAGACGTGGCAAGACGTATTCTCGCACTTTTCGCTGTATCCGGAAGAAAACGTGGAATTGCAGGCTATCATCCAGCGTCCAAATGAGACACTTTCACGCGCCGACTTCGAAGACTTCCAACATCATTGCGCACAACGTGGTGTCACCGTCATCCCCGAGATCGAAGCCCCAGGCCATGCTCTAGCGATTACGAAATGGAAGCCTGAGCTAGCGCTAGCAAAGAAGGACCTGCTCAACCTGAGCCATCCGGACGCAATCCCGACAGTCAAAGCCATCTGGTCTGAGTTCCTCCCATGGTTTCAAACCAAGGAGGTACATATCGGCGCTGATGAGTACGATTCCGAGCTAGCGGACGACTACATCGACTTCGTCAACGAGATGGCCGACTTCATCAACAATACTTCTGGTAAACGCGTACGCATATGGGGTACTTACGAGCCATCCGAGAACCTCCGCATCTCAAAAGACATCATCATACAACATTGGCAGTACGGTCAATCAGACCCTCTTGAGCTCCAGGATGATGGATACGACATGATCAACTCAGAGGATTGGTGGGCATACATGAGTCTCAAGAACGACCACATGCCCATTCTTCCGGCGCCGTACCCGCAGTTCTATAACGTCACGCGCACGATGAACTTTGCCAGTGTACCAGGATGGCAGTGGGAACCATCGCTCTACAATCCAGTCAATACCACAGAGCAGCTGGAGCCCAGGGCTAGCGGCAACAAAGGCGCTGTTCTTGCAGCTTGGAACGATAATGGTGCGGATGCGACTACGCAGCTCGAAGCCTACTATGCGATGCGAGAGGGTATACCTGTCGTGGCGGCGCGTGCATGGGCCGGTGCGCGAGGTGCAAAGATCGCCCCGGAGGAGTTGGCGGATAGCATTGCGCTTTTGGTATGTTCATGCGAAATGTGGATTAACTGCATCTTGATCTGGTGGCTAACGAATGTTTACTAGGCAACTAAAGCCCCGGGACAGAACCTAGATCGCCGTTTTGCGAACACAAACGTAGGTTCGTCAAGCTCAGCGCTGGTATCATGGACACAGAAATCCTCCAGTAACAGCAACACGACGTTGAATATGGGCTCATACGGACCACCGTACACCCTAACCCTGAACATATCCTCATCCTTCACCTTGACCGGCCCTGATACCTCGCTCTCTATCGCTACTCTTCCAAACAACTCCAGTGATAGCATTACAACACTCATGTTTACCACAGCCGATGGCTTCGAGTATCCTCTACGTTCCGTATCTCTGTTTGATGGGCACGACCCTGGACATCCGGGTCGCATATGGACCAACCAGACGACATCTTCCCACGAAGCAATTCTAATTACACTGCCCGCAAATTTGCGCATTGAGACCGACATGATTAGCGGTAGTCGGGTCTGGCTGAATGATACATTCGCGGGTCGGTTCGAGGTGTTCGTATATGGGGGTCGCAACACGCTCTTTAGCTGGAGTCAGATGGCTCTTGTTGCGCCGCTGGACGTGGTAGAGGGTGGTGTTGATAATTTGATGCTTCAGACTGGCGTTGCGCTAGGTGCGTTATAGGATGATGTAATGCAGTTGACGCGATATAGAAAGTGTGGACACTATACACGATGCAATGAGACTTGAATAGACAGGCTGTATGAGCTTTGAATGCTCAGATTCAGATAATTCATTCTGAGTGACCCAAGCATGTTGTGTTCATGCATACGATCAAGCAACAAAATATTCTCTGACATGGTAGTCAACCGATGTCAACAATGACGATGACGTATCCAAACTGCCAGTACGAGAAACGAGAGAGCAATCGGCGCAGGCCCACCAACCGACTGGATATCAACACGGCTTGAGCTCGATGTCGTCAAGACGGCTGTAGGATGGGCGGAGATGGATATCACGATGCAAGCGTGGTGTTGAGGTTCCAGCCAAGCGACCCCACCATTAGCCTTATCGCGCTCGTGTACACCTTCTGTGTTCGGCAACAGCCCCGCCTACAACACCGAACTGTGCCATCATGGCTGAACTACGTCGGAGATGGCCGCCGACGCGTAAATCGCCTGATATCCAAGCCTCTCTTTCCATCGCGCGAGTGTGTCTTTACAACAGCTGTTCTTCTGCACCCCCTTCCAAGCTCGGACCAAAACGACGCGACGAGGAGTGACGACATGGCGAACATCACATCAGCCGTCTCGCAGGACGACCTGGAGATTCCGGTACTTCATATTCTTTCAGATATTCCGAACAGCACCTAATAATGCTTAGCTCATCGACTTCTCGGTGTTCCTCTCAGGCGACGCCGACGCGAAGAAGCAAACCGCCGACGCCGTCCTCAAGGGCTTCCAAAACGCCGGCTTCATCTACCTAAAGAACCACGGCATATCCCCCTCGACCGTATCCACCGTATTCTCGCACTCCGCCAAGTTCTTCGCCCGGCCAAAAGAGCAAAAAGACAAGTTGGCATGGTACTCGGCGGCCGCCAACCGCGGCTATGTCACACAAGGACGGGAGAAGCTGGTAGTACTGGAAGAGACAGGCACAGAAGCGGAGATGCGCGCCTTGGTGCCTGATCTGAAGGAGAGCATGGAGATTGGACGCGACGACCAGCCTGAGATGCCGAACATGTGGCCGAGTGGGGACGACGAGGCGACGCAATTCAAGGAGCAGATGATGGGCTTCTTCGAGACATGCAAGGACCTTCACATGCAGGTCATGCGTGCTATTGCGCTAGGTATGGGCATCGACGAGAAATGGTTCGACGGCTTCACGGATGCGGGCGACAACACGCTGAGGCTGCTGCACTACCCGGGTGTGTCGAAGAGCATCTTCAAGAGGAACGACGGGCAGGAGCAGGTGCGCGCTGGAGAGCACAGCGATTACGGTATGATGGTCATTACCACTTGCCAATAGGATCTGACTGACACGACGACAGGCTCTATAACACTCCTCTTCCAAGACGCCCGCGGCGGTCTTCAGGTCCGCTCCCCCAAAGGCACCTTCGTCAACGCTACGCCTATCGAAGACACCATTGTCGTCAACGCTGGCGACTTACTAGCACGCTGGTCGAACGACACCATCAAGTCAACGAAGCACCGCGTCATGGAGCCACCACCGAAACCGGAGGATGCGGACAAGGACGAATACCCACCGCGATACTCGATAGCCTACTTCTGCAACCCGAACTACGACCGCAAGATCGAGGCTATACCAGGCACATACGAGAAAGGCAGGAACTACGAGGATGTCATGAGTGGGGATTATATCATTGGGCGGTTAACAGCAACGTATTGAGGAGTGAAGGCAATGTCAACAATTTGGTATGTGCTGGAGTACCTGCTTAAAGACTGCTGTGTGGTCGCAACTTCCTGTGGAGAACACTTGTCATATGGCTGGAATGAAGATATTGGCAAGATGACAGATGTGATACTCACTTGCCCAGATCCAACCAAGATATCCAAACGACGACAAGCATGTTCTAGGTCACGGAGTGAGCACAACAGCTTTGCTTGACGCCGACAAAGGAATCCCGATGGACACATGAACATATTAAAAATTATAATGATGAAGGCACGGGAGGATACAGTTCCCATCCGCTCAGTGAAAAGGATGTGAGTTCATCAACGTCTTGCGAAAGTATCTTCTTTTCCTATATCTACTTTCTCGTCTTTTGCAGTCAATGAGCATCGTCAACAACTTACAACGACGGACGAGTTCACTTCTCTTCTTCTCAGTGGTCTCTCAAGTACGCACAGTTTTTGTCTCTTCCTCAACTCCACGCATAAAGCGCGGACATCGATGAAAAGATAAGGTGGGCCGTAAGTGAACCCGGTATTGTCAGTTCCTCGCTTCCTATCTTCCATTCAAGACCTTGTCTCATTGGTAAGAGGGTGATCAAAAATGGTAAGCAGTCCACGATGGTCCGAACGCTCACGTCATCTACTAGAGATGTCAACCCAAACACCCAACATCCCCAACGTTAATTTTTACCAGAACGCCGGATCCGCTGAATGCTTGGTAAGTATTTCGTCCAGGATCGAACATGTCATCAAGATGACGTAGCTCTGGGCAACGAGAGGAGCGGACTACTGCGCCGGACGGTCGCGATCATGACCCGCTCGTCGTTCTCGTACTGTACGCGGATCCATACAAGTAGCGACGAGGCGCACCAGGTGCTCTGGCAGTGCTCGAATGCGCTTGAGTTGGTCGGGGTACTGGTCGAGTGAAGTCTTGTCGAAATCCGCAATTTCGGCCGAAGCGAACTATGCCGGAGACTGTCTCTCCTGAAGAAGAAGAAAAGAAGGAAGAAGAGGAGGGGCGGGCGAGATGATATACTTCTACGCTAGCGATCACTCACGTGATCTCCGTAGTGCGTGCGCTGGAGCCTAGAGGATCCAGGGACCGCGTGTGAGCAGTGAAGGAGAGTAGGATTATTTCCTCAATAGGTTAGCTCCGCCTTTTCGACACTGCGAGCAAACAGATCAATCCCACATTTGCAAATTTACACCAACTTCGCTCATTCCTCGCCGCCCCAACCCAATCAATCATGGTCGCATCACGAGCCGACGCTCTCGAGAAGGAGCTCTGCGAAGAGAGAATCGCACACACTGCGACCAAACAAGAGGTGATCAATCTCAGGAAGCATCTGACGGAATCGGAGCAGAAGCGGAGGGTTCTTGAAGGCGACATGCAGCTCGTGGTCCTCAAGTGCAAGTTCCTGGAAGGAGATGGTGGAGACAAGGATGGTGGAAGCTGCGATGGCGACATGGGAGCAGTCGTTACCGAAGACGAAGCGCTCAGAGCTGCCCTACCCGACGCGCCAATCCATCATCCAGAGATCTACAAATCACGTTCGAGTTCGCATTCGGAAGGTCAGAACAGCATGTCTTCCCCAAACTACTTGGACCACATCACTAACGATCTATCAGAGGACGACGTCGCCGCCTCGACTCATGGTACCAAGCGGACTTTTGATGAAACGAAGTAAGTAGGCGCCACGCTACCACCAGTATCTCCGCTAATTGATGTACAGCTCGGAAGAGCAGCGCGTGATAGTATGCATCGACTGCTATCAACACAAGCTCCGATGTGACCCGGGAGAGCCTTGCAACAACTGCGCCAACTCCAACCGCGTCTGCAAAAGGGCCAAATGCAGGGACTACGAGACTGGACAATGCAAGCGAGTCAGTTGTCTGAGAGCACATCGCCAGGATGAGGAGTGGTACGAGAACATCGTTCGCGCAGGACATGTCCCCAGGACCGACCCATCCAAGCCGATCATGCCTAGGAAGAGGCCGCGGAGCTTCCGGTACCGAAAGGACGACGATGACAAGATGGGGGGTGATGGTGGTGGTGGTGGGGGTACTGGCTTAGCTCTGCGTTACTAGTCGTCCAGAGAGCGCCACGAGGATGTCAGGAGTAAGTTGGAAGCCATCTGGGCGGTTTTGTTGGCGGCGGATATATGACTCGTGTATTTTTCCGTTAGCGTTGCCCGCATCTGCACGCGCAAGCTAGGAGCAGACACTACGGTTGAAGCAAGGCCATTTGAGCATACTTTCAATCTATGCAGAATAACTCCGACGATTTTGCGTGTAACATGGTACTGTAGACGGACCTTCGTCATACCTAGGGTATTAATATGCGTCTCCCCCGCCCTCCAGCATGTATCTCTGTTTTCCACATCATCTTGCGCCTTTACTCACAGCAGCCGTCAACTTGTTGACTACATCCTAACAACGATGTCAATTCCACACCTTCGCAAGACCAAAACCTCAAGCCAGCTTGTCGTTGATGGCGAACCTTACCTCATACTCGGCGCTGAACTACACAATTCCACTCTCAGCTCCGCGAAATACATGGCCGATGAAAAGATATGGCAGAACGTGCGCGACATGCACATCAACACGCTGCTCGGTTCAGTACCCTGGGAGCAGATCGAACCAGTAGAAGGTCAATTTGACTTCTCGAACCTCGACGCTGTGATTTTGGCGGCGCGCCAAAACAACATCAAACTTGTGCTACTTTGGTTTGGCAGCTTCAAGAATGCGCTCAGCACTTACGCACCTGCGTGGGTGAAGAAAGACGTGAAGAGGTTTCCTAGAGTGCATGCGCTAGAAGCAGGAGGCAAGAGAAGGACGGTCGAACTCATAAGCCCTTTCTGCGAGGCGGCATGGACGGCTGACGCAAAGGCGTTCGCGAAGCTCATGACACATCTGAAGGAATTCGATGGGCAGCACAGCACTGTAATCATGATGCAGGTTCAGAATGAGACTGGGTTGATGGGCGATTCCAGGGACCGCTCGAAGATCGCGGAAAAGAAATTCCAGGAACCTGTACCGAAAGCACTGCTCGAGCATCTTCAGTCTAAAAGCGACGAACTGCACCCAGAGTTCAAGAAACGGTTTGACATCACCACAGCGAAAGCAGGCGAGGCATCATGGACCGAGCTGTTCGGCGCCAACGACATCATCAACGCTGAAGAGATGTTCATGGCAGACGCCTTTTCGAAGTACATTAATCACGTCGCTGCTGCCGGCAAAGCCGAATATCCGATCCCCATGTACGCCAATGCCTGGCTGAATCTCGATAACCCAGCCGAGCTGGACTTGACCGATACATCAGTAATGGTTGGCGGAGGTCACAAGCCTGGTGTTTATCCATCTGGCGGACCGGTTCCTCACACAATGGATGTTTACTCCTTCAATGCGCCCAGTCTAGACTTCCTTGGCCCAGACCTGTACTTCCACGACTACGATATGACATGCCAGAACTATCGACATGGCGGTCAGCCGTTGTTTATCCCCGAACAAAGGCGTGAAGAGAAGGGTGCACGCCGCATCTGGAGCGCCTATGCCAACTTCCTCGCGCTGGGCTGCTCTCCGTTCGGCATCGACTCTCTTCTGGCATCTGAAAGCGCCTTCACAAAGCCCTATGGCCTGATGCATTCACTACGAAAGCAGATTCTCGAAGCACAAGCAAACCGGCCTGAAGACATGATGGGGTTCTTCTTCGACGAGTTCGTCGATGGCCAGAAGAGCAGCGAGAAACCGCAAACAAAGATCATGGGTGACTTCCAAGTTATCATAGAGCGTGCTTTCGTCTTTGGAAAGCCAGGACCTGGAGCAGGTATGGTCATACACCAGGGCGATGGCAAATTCCTTTGTGTCGGATGGGGTTTCAGTATCTCATTCAAGAGTACTAACCCCAAGTCGACGTTCACGGGCATTCTGCATGCAGAAGAGAAGGAGGTCAACCCTGAGACATGCGAGCTGTCAACACTGAAGATACTGGGGGGCGATGAGACGAGAAGTGGCAAGTTCCTCATCATGCCGAATGAGGAGCCAGACTATGGAGGTTTCCCCATCGTAGTGACTATCCCCGCTAATACCTACATTGCTGAATGTTGGGCCTACAGTCTCGAAGAGGGCGAGGATGACTATTGATAGGCCCTGGTGGTATGCATATAGTAGATACGGTGCTGCATTGTGTATGTCTTCATTCAATCTCCATCAAATCGTAACCTTTTTTCACCTACTTTAAATCAGCGCTGCCATGATCGTAAAGTCTTGAGTAGGACTGACATATTTCAAGAGACTTCCGAACAGCAGTAGAGTCAGCGACGCGCTCATGTAGCTCAGTGGATAGGTTGTCAGTTGGCTATTCATTGAGTAATCTGGGCGGTGTTAACCTCAAGTGCTACCATCCTTCTGCTTTTTTCGCAGCGCTAAAGAGATGTCGTCGGGAACGAGGATGGCGATAGATAAACTTCCGCGGCTTGTATAGGGTGAGATAAAGTGTAGGTACCCGAATAGAATCGTCCCGGTGCGGATGGACTCAAACATTTGCTGCTTGCACCATGATCCGCTGATCAAGACTATCCAGCTTTGCTAGCAGCTTGTCCAGATTGATACTCGCCTGCAAATTTAGGTCTTGCGGCCCGGTTCGAAGTTCATCAAGAAGCGCGCCGCCAATGTCTCTGATCTTCGGCACAATGCTATATCCATTAGCGTCAAACACCTCTTCTGGCATGTTGTACAGGACGTCGAGCAATTCCTCCACCACGCGGTGTCGCTCGTTGAAGATAGCATCCGGAGTGGCCCGCATGTGCTGATATTTAGCTAATGCGTTCATCTGCTCTAGTAAATTTGAGCGGATGTGCAGTTGCGTAACCTTGAGGTTGACCTTCTGCACGTTGAAAGCGAACTGTTCCCTATGCGGCGGTTGCCACGTAAGCTCTGGTGGCAGGTCTTCAAGCAATCGCTGAGCTTGCACAATATGGTCGTATAGATTGTCCATGGACTGAGTAGTGACTGCTTGGCTGGAATGCCAGATCATGAATAGCCTGGAGAGTGCGTTGAGCCCGGGGATATAGGAGACAGATGGCCCCACGTTTTCCATTGAGCCTGCATCAGCGCCGCTTAGTAGCTGTTCATCGGTTATCTCCAATGGAAGTAGATGGCCGAAAGCCTCATGCGCATGACGAAGGATCAGTAACTGTCTGCCATGCATATCGCAGGTGCATTGATTGGCATAGATCAGCCAATAGAGGCGCTTCAAAGTTTGCTGATCCATGAATGACATCTGCTCGAAACTCTCATGGATGAGATACTTGACGCTGATCGAACTTTCAGCACACAGCCGATACGTGAGCGGCGAACCGAGGCCATGCTCATGGCTAACGGCAATGGATAAGTTGTACAATGCTAGTGCTCTTTCTAGTGTGATCTTGTTGGTCGAGCTCCAGATCCCGAAACCCTCGGCGAGTTCCAGGCACGCTTCTACTGACATACTGCCGTACAGATGGCGCCGTCTACGAACGCTGGCCACGGTGGCAGCACATATCGACAGTACCAGTAAGAAGAATGGTGTCGAGCCGTTGTCGTCGGATAATCTTTGCATGAATAGGTCATGATGAAGAAGCGGTGCCACCGGATGGATCCATTCGAACCAGTCAGTCATGACCTGGTGGATGACCGCATATGGTGCTATGAGATCCAGGCGGGCTTGCTCAGGTGCGCTCGGTGCGCTCGGTGTTGCCAAAGTGTCGTTACGATCCAGCCGCGCACGTAATGATTGGATATATCGGTTTTTTGGGCCTCTCTTTTTCCGTGGTCGCATGCTCGTACACTCGATGTTGAGCTCAGTACAGACAGAGCATTTGGATTCGCCGATTGGTGCAACGCACTGTGTGCCGTCAGGATACGAGCTGCATTGGACCACATTAGCGCACTTTAACTTTCCTCGTACGACATGCATCACAGGCTGCCGAAATTCGCTGCCGAGCGCGTTCCTCAGTTCCCGGTTGTAGCTCCATGTTGTTCAAGATGGTTAAAGTGCAGAGAATCTGGGCGCCGCAAAAACCAACGGATAATTGATGCATTAGCGCCACGCCAACGCTAGCCTCAAACTTCAAGCAATCTTGGAAGCCTTCCCATGTCTTCTCCACCCGCACCTGGCAAGTCTCGACGTCTTACTTTACTACACCAGGGCACTGGAAGCAGACGTCACAACACACCGAACATGCATCGGCCGATGACGGCCTCATAGGTTGATACTGTCTTATCTCACTTTGATTCATTTCCCTGTTGGTTGAGTTGGACGAGATATCATTAGATGATATTTTCGGTCCTCAGTCCTTTCTATACGTATGCCTACAATATCTTGTGAAGAAGCGTTCATCGCCAACTCTTTCCCTACTAGGCAACGTTCAGACAAGCGAATTGCCTAGTCAAGGTCTGCAATCCACCTGTACAAGTAGATTTCCAAGAGCTCATTCTTGTACATCCTTGTTTCCGCCTTGATCTCAGCGTTCCTAGCTTTTAGAACCTCGCACTCGATCTTCTGGGCCTCCACCTTAACCCTCTCGACAGCATTCTCCCTTATGAGCACTGCGCGTCTCTTCTTCGTCTCTTTTATCACCCTCGCTGTCTGCGCCTCAATCATCGCCATCTTCTCGTGCGATGCTTTCTTCCATTCCTCCTTGGCTCTTGCCTTCTCCTCCTTAACTCTCGCCTTCTCCCTGAGTCTCGCTCTCTTCTCCTCCATCTTCTTTATTGTTTCTTTTCTTGCCATCAACTCCTTCTTTAAAGCCTCCTTCTCCTCCTCCACACGAGCTTTCGCCTCTCTACGCATGTCGACACCTTGTTGCAAAAGCTCAGCCCACTCTCTCAGGAATTGCTCGTGAAGGACCCGATGCGCTTCCTTAAGTTCCTCATGATGACGGAGGATGGAGGGGTCGGCGTTGATCGCGAGCGCAGCTTGGTAGTCTTGTTCGATTCTGGCGGCGTCGGCAACGAAGACGAGATGGTCCTTGTCTTTTGCGGAGAGTTGTACATCGAGCTGATCGAGGATCTCGTCGGCTGTGGGCGGACCGAAGGATGGAAGGGCTGTGGTATCTGTACCGTCATCGCTGTCGGTATGGGTGTTGTCAGGCTCGTCAGAAGACATCGTGGACTGCGCAGAAGACGACGTGTCGCGCTTGTGGAGCAGTATGTAGCCTCAGGTGCGAAGACAAATAGCGATGGCGGTAGTAGTGACAGAGTATGAAGGGCAGAGTTGTAGAGTTTGTGTGCTCCTCGGCAGATCTAGCCCGTTACGGATACGTCAGTGAAAGACACGGACGGCGGCTGCTGGATATGTGACGACTCACTCAAGTCAAAATCGAGCTTATCGTTGCTGAGCAAATAGAAATGGATCATTTGTCGAGCGGCGCGTGTAGAGATACTGCCTTTTTCGGTGTCGGTAGCGCCAATAGAGCCCTGGAGGTGTAGGCAGCAAAGCGTACGGTCAGGTGTCGGTGTATTTGAGCGTTTGATTGGCCTCTCCTTTCCACCTCGTCGTATCACTCGCTGATAAGGCCGTTTGGTGTACCTGAGTGACGTCGCAAATTATCGCGAAAATACGCACTGACTATAACGCGTTCTCACTTCCTCAAAGTCGCACAATTTGGACCGACTCTCCTCTCTCTCCACCATCCTCATCTTCATTTCTGAGTACCCGTACGCAATTGCGACACGCCGATCAGGTCCGCACACCCCGCCGCCTCCCCGTCACGACTTCCCTGTCACGAGTAAGTCCTGACTGTACGAAGTGCAAGTGAGACATATGTACTGACTTCGTACTTCTACCTCTGCAGCCGGTTTCACGATGTCTTCTCATACAGGCACCTTCAACGCTCCTGCTACACGGGCCAGCCGCTATGTAGACCCCGATGTGCATGAGGAGCTTGTATTGGCGTTTGCGGATCTGGAAGTTCGTAATGAGGAGCTCGAACGAAACTACGATGACCTCGAGTATGCGTACGAGCAGACGAAGGCACTCGTCGAGCTCGCCCCTGACGACTCCGACGCCACAGAAATGCCGCTCAACTACAACAAGACCAATAATGACCCCTCAAACGACGACTGGTACGGCCCCTGTATCGAAGCTCAGGCTAAGGTCCAGGCTCTCGAGGCAGAGGTTGCCAAACTCAAGCACAAAAACTTCAGTCTTGAGTGCCAGGTCGAGCGTCTTGGGGGCGAGGTCGAGTCTAGCGATGAAGTTCCCGTTACTCCTGCAGCCGAAACTACTTTCCCCGACGACGAGCCCTTGGATGAAGCCATTGTCACGTCTGCGTCCGAGACTGCTTCCTCCGCCGACGAGCCATCGGATGAGACCATCGTCGCGCCTGAAGCTGATCCTGCTCCCACCGACGACGAGCCGAGAGGCCACAAGCGTACTCTTTCGCAATCCGAGGTCGCATCAACTGAGAAGGTCGAGAGCAAGAAGGCCCGCCCTGCATTCTGGCGTGGAGACCTGACGAGCCGACCTAAGAAGAACAAGGCCGCCGCACCGAAGAGACGGGAACAGCAGAACCAGGTTTGAGGTAAACATACCCCCAGACACATGTTGTACAAATTGCTAACATGCCTTTTAGCAGCTACATGGGCTCACGTCGGTGTCCGCGATCACGCGTAAACTCATTGGAGCTCGCCAGGCCTCATCGTTGGTCCTGATGAATGTGATAGCGTCGGTGATGGGTTGCAGCACACTGGGTCGGATTGCAAGGTCGACTTGTATTGCTGGGCATATAGTGAGGGATTCGAAGCACTTTACAATTGAGATTGACAACGTGATTGTGATCTAACAGCCTCCCTGGTGATGTATGAGTTGCACTTGCATCCGCTGTTGATGCGATGTTGTCGTGAAAGAGACATAGAAATTTGAGACTGGGGAGGTTGGAAGTCGCGAACCCCGGCGTTAAAGTGGATACCTCGAAGCTTAACTCCGAGCTCATGGGGCGCAGCTTCCTCATACCGCCATTTCGTCTCAGAAACAACAGAGTGTACCTTTGACTCAGACTGCGGTCTGGTCCTGGTTCAGAACTATCCAGCACTACCAACAACTCAACATGTCGTTTCCGAATTGCGCATCTCCGCTGTTCGAGCTTCCACAGGAGCTTCTCGAAATCGTACTCAGCTATCTTCCTCCGTCCCAAGACGTGTTGAACCTGTCTCGTACCTGCAAAGCCCTGCACGCAAAGACCATAGCGCATCTATACAGCAACATCAGCATGCAATGGCAGGCCGGTCATGCAACTCGCCCGCTGAGTATTCATGATTACCATCCGTGGCAACGCCGAGCTTTCCGGCCCAACATTCTCCTGCAAACAATCCTGGCGAAACCCGCCTACGCGCAATCGATCACTAGTCTCAGACTGCAGACTACCGGGCTTGGGGGTTGTTGGAACGATTGGTTTCGTGATCCACGCAGACAGGAGCCTTTGGAGAAGCGGAAACCGAAGGCTGCCCCGATTTGGACAAACGCGAACGAGCGACTGGTCCTGGACGCCGTACGGAATGCAGGGCTGGAGTGGCACCATAAAGGACGCGGAGATGCTTTTGCAGTCAGCGGTCGTTCTTGGTATGAAGCTATCCTGATGTACGATTTGGATGCTACCATAGCGTTGCTCGTGTGGGTGTGTCCCAATCTTGTCTCACTCGACCTAGGGTTTCACATCGGCAGCGACGTAGTGTACATCCCTGAACTCTTGTGGAAGCTGCGCTCTGGTGGTGCGGAGTCACAAGCTCTCGGTTGTCGCAAGCTTCGAAACATTCATCTCGGCCGTGGGTATAGCGTTTATGTTAAGGAGGATCATCGGTGGTATAGTTGGAGTCGGATCAAGTATCTACACCCACATTTGGATTGGAGGGGATATTGGGCCTTCTTTTGGTGTCCAAACATCCAGAAGATTGAAATGAGCTTAATGGAGGAGATTGCCCAGGCAGGTTTCCTGAAAGCAACATCTCTACCTGTCTGCTCAACGTTGACGACATTGAGACTTGGCGAGTCTTCCGTGAAACCAAACACACTCGCGAAACTGTTGTCTTGCACACCAGCTCTGAGGGAGTTGGATTACGAATACTGGGCTTGGGATGAGGCGTTCATCACCGTGGATTGCGCATCGCTCAGCGCCGCCCTAAACAGTGTTAAGAGCACCTTGGTGCATTTTCGATTCTTCTGTCGAACGCATTCGCCAAGGCCCGTGAACGTCTATGGGAAATACGATTTTCGGGACTATCCCGTTCTCTCCTCCCTCCACGTCTCGCCTGCCGTGATACTAGGCGGTGAGGCTTCCCTTTGGCCCCGAATCGAGGAAGTCATGCCATCGAGCTTGGAGGAGCTGTGCTTTGTCCATGATGATCTTCTCGAGTTCTGGAGCCCGAAGCAATTGATACCGTTGCTAGACGACTTTTTCCAGGGCGATTGGAGAGCTAAAACACCAAAGCTGCAACGCGTGTACGCGACGCATAACAAGCCGTGGAAAAAGGCGTGTAGGGGAAACTATCTGCGGCTTTTGAGCGAACGAAATGGGTTAGAATGGGTAAACACTAGCTGAGCAAGAGAATGAAGATTTTGTATTTACAACACAAGGATTGTCGGAGATTCTGACAGAGGAACTCCGAAGCCGAGACAATACGAAATGTCCAAGCGGCTGCAGTTGTTGGTTTGCTAGCAGTCGGTGCGAAACGTTCCGGCGTGTACCGACATCACGATGATGGCGATGATGTTCGTGCTGCATCGGGAGCTGGACCCTGAGATCGCGTATTATGGGATGACGTCTTCGATTGACGACAGACGCGACGCGCGATCGTACAAAGACAATGGCATACCACGACTTCTTGCTGAATCTCATCCTACATCTACAATCCCATCTTTCTGCATCACGTTCATACACGTGACCCTACGTGCATTCCCACTACTACCTCGAACCCCATCACAGCCTCCACAATGGGCAACACACAATCGACGGTGCGCTACCTTGCGCCGGCATCCTTCATCTACGACTTTGCTCTGCAACAATATGGTATCTTCTCGTCGCCCAACATGATGGATATCCACAACCGGAATCTTGCCGCTTTCAGCCCATACCCATACTTCATTGGCGCATTCTTCTTCCCTCAACAAATCTTCCAGCTGGTATGGTTATGGAAGCTGTGGAAGCAGGATGGTAATGCGCAAGAGTGTGCGATGATGAACAAGTTTGCTTGGGTTTACAGTCTGGGCAACTTTTGCATTGGAAGTAAGTCGTGTCATCGAAGCACCATACCATACCACAGAATAAAGACTAACGTATACGACAGCTTGGATGTTCTTCTGGAACTCGAACAACCTGGAGACATCGAACATCTTCGTCATCATCAACACACTGGCGCAAGTCGGTTACATTGCGACGGCGCTTGAGCCGCTCGACACACGCTCAACACCCAACCTTCTCACCCACATTGTCTCGAAAACGTTTGCGGGTATCGGTGTACTGGATCTCCTTCACAACACATCTGCAGCCTACTTTGTAGGTGTAGAGCCCAGTTCACTGGTGCAGGTGGCTACCGGTGTTGGTTTCGCCGCGGCGGCAAGCATGAGCGACTGGATCTTCGGCGGCTGCTTGGTATACGACCTCGTTGCGTTGACCGTTGGACAGGAGGGCAACTGGTCGAGGCTGCTAGGTGGATACGCGGCCATGACAGCGGGTATTGTGGCCTTTAGGAACTTCTTCTAGTAGGTGCACTCGGCCGTCGCATGCTGAGTCGTGCTGACGGATCGCAGTCCAAGGTGGAAGGCGCAGAAGGAGGGAAGGTACGCCAGGGTTGAGAATGGCGGTGACGTGGTTTAGATATTGGGGGTCGCAGGTCGCGATACTTACCTTGATGCGGACATCTCAGTGATGTGCACGTTGATTACTTCCTATAATGATAATTAAACTTCGTATCACTTTGTGGTCTCGGTAACACTCCAGTCTGGTTCGTTGTTCTCGACATACGGGTTCCAAAAGCTCGAGACACGACGATGCCTCAAGTCCAGCCTCACTCATGGTGGGTTTCTGTTACGTTTCGAGGCAGATCTTAGTGCGGTGTATTAGTTGAGGCTTGAAGGCCGAAGCGACGGACCCATCCGATGGCGGAGAGGAGGGGCAGATAGGCATGCATCGTCATTACAGCTTGCGCGCTATAGGCCGACCCCATATTGAAGTTGATCGATCTGTGATGTGCGTAGATCTGGCGATGGCAGATTGATGCTGCGAGGTCCAGCCGGTGTCCCCTCCGCCTGACGTGCCAGCCTGATGGTCGCCGCCAAGGCCCGCGAGCGGCGGCAAGCAGCTCGGAGACATGTGCGCTAGCATGATGCGCGTGCGCGCCCTTGCCCTCGAGATAAGCAACTCTTATCAATCACTCATAGCATCCCACCCGCCCAAGTCACACTGCTCCCGTCATGGCAGGCCTAGCCGCAACGGATACCGCTTGGCCTAGCATCGGTCATGCGAGCCCGCCGGGGGATCCTCTAGCATGTGGAGATGCTTCCTTTTGGGAGCCTGCGGTTGGCTGGGGTGGATGACTGTTGACGGCCGTGAGCTGCTGTATGTCTTCTGTCACACTGCTCTGACGTCTCGTGTCTTTTCTTCTACTCTTCCTCTTCCATTGCCTGCAGCCCGCGCTTCTCGTGGCTGTCATAACCTCCATTTCTGCACGCCGAGTCCTATCAGCAACTGACCGGTTCAACGACGTCACAGCGCCGAGCTTTGGACAGCGACTCTCACGCGACAACTTATACATATCTCTTGAAGAACGGTCGCTTGGCCTGTACTTCAATTCTGATACCGACGTTACGCGTGCGTCGTATACGAGGTTGCATCCACGCCTCTGTGGCTGTACCAAGAGCCCGAACCAGCGCCTGACCACCCAGCCTGCGCTACTGAGACGTGAGGAAGAAGCAAGAAGCATCCGGGACCACGCGCGTTGGAGTTCCGGTTGACTCTCTACGGCAGTCACAGTTTAGAAAGCTGCGTCGTTCCTTCCCATCGAACCCTCGAAATCGACCTATGGCACCATGCCTCCATACCTATCCCCCCTACACATAGCCAAACCCACGTTACCACCGACCTGCGAACCCGCGAACGAGTTCCTCTATCATCTATCGGCGGCATTTCACACCTGCGTACCTACGAACCTCGCGCTCGTCTCGACATTGCTCGGCACGTGCAGCATCATATCATGGCTGTTCGCACAGCTACCACAAATATACAAGAACCATAAGCTGAAGTCAACATCTGGACTGAGCGCGTTCTTCTTGACGGAATGGCTCCTAGGTGATGTGACGAACCTGTTGGGCTGCCTGTTCACCGGGCAGGCGTCATGGCAAGTCATAATCGCAGGCTACTACGTCTTCGTTGACTGCTGCTTGTGTGGTCAGTGGGTATGGTACGAGCTGTTGCACCATGGAAGACCACTGAGGCCGATCTGGGGCCGATGGAGCAGCTCAGCTGGCAGCGGTTCAGGTGGCGGAGGCTCTGCCATGCACCAGGTTCTAGATGGGATGAGCATAGGCGGTACGAACAACGCGTCTAGCCCGCCAAAGTCACCGCAAGATTCAAGTGACACGAAGAACGTTAAACAGGATAGCGCGGCCAAAGACGTACCGCGCTCGAACGCGAAGGAAACCTTTAGGATACCCAACTTTGCGCGCTCGCCCATGCCTACGAAGGAATCATGGCAAAGCACATCTCCGTCAGGCGCATCACCCAACCCCAAGGTGCGGATAGCAGCCTCGAGCTCACCTATGCCCTCGCCCAAGACGGTCCTATACATAACCCTCATGATCGCCGTACTCGCCAACCCTACTACCGCTACGCCGATAAGTCCATTCGCGCCAGGCCTCGCCCGTGCTCGCAGCCTTTCCGCATACACAACTACCGGGACCAGCTCGTCCAGTGCCTCGGAAACCGCTGGCAAAGTCTTCTCATGGATGAGCACGTTCTTGTACCTCGGATCGCGCCTCCCCCAACTCTACATGAACCAGGTGCGCAAATCGACAGCTGGTTTGTCTCCCACCCTCTTTGCGGCCGCCTTCTTCGGTAATCTCTTCTATTCGACTTCGCTCCTTACAAACCCCTGCGCATGGTACGACTATGCGCCAGGCGAAGGCTCCGGCTGGGTCGACCCCCAAGGCAGCGTGAGAGAGAACTGGATCCTACGCGCCGCCCCTTTCTTCTTCGGCGCAGCAGGCGTACTCCTCATGGACGCAGCAGTCGGTCTACAATTCTGGCATTTCGGCGACGCCACACCACGAGGCCGATCGCCAACGCCCCGCGACGACGAAGTCATCATCACCGTCGACGACCACGGTAAGCTGGTGCGCAGGAGTATGCATTGGCGCCGTGTGAGCGGGTGGATGAGGGGCTGGGCTCCGGCTGTCAGTGTAGCTGCTACGCCGAATGTGAGCCGTGCGAATACGCCCATGGATTCTCCGAGGGATACGAGTCCGGCGAGTACAGCGGGAAGTAGCTCGAGCAAGAGTATTCCGATCAAGGGCAGGGGTAGCGCGTTGGATGAGGCGAGGGCGCTTCTGGGGACGAGTAGACATGCGAGTCCGAGGAGCTATGGCGCTGTGGGTAGTCCTAGGTAGTCAGAAGCGTTGCATTTACGATGCTTGTAGAAATGACGGGCTGATTATACTCATGGATGCGTGGCATTTTGCATCTACGACTGGCGTTTTGGGACCATGGCCTATAGCCTATACATATTAGCTTACGAAATGATATTTCTTCTTACCCTCGTCCATGACATTACCCTACTTCAATAGCGACTTGCATAACAATCACAGAGCTGCCATAGAGCCAGTATTCAGACACACAGAGAAGACAATTATGATAATGTAGTAATACGCAGTTGATCTTCCGCTGTTTCATAAAGGTTCCTATCTATCTACGAGTGTCCAAAGAAAGCAACCAAGTCTAACCCGCCTCTGACTCTGGCAAAAAGGGGAAAAAAGCACCAAAACGCCGAGCTCGACTAGTGACAAGAACATGTGACCAGACCGAAAACCCGAAGAGCCGCCCTACTGCTGCGAGGTATCACACCCTTATACAAAACGTGACGAGTAATCGTACAGAAGAAGCCGGGAGGTGTGTGTGTGTGTGTGTGTGGTGTACATAGGCAACGCCGTAATTAGCGCTTGCCCTTCAGGAAGTCGAACTTTTAGGGAATCTCTAGAAAAGGATGGGGAGGGAGTAACGCCATTTGGAGGAAAAGGCGTTTAGACACGCGATACATCGCGACCGAAGCACTTGGCCTTGGCCCAGTCGAGCATGACCAATATCCTGTTGCGGGTGCTGAAGCACATGCTGAGGTAGGCGGAGCGCCAGAAGATGTAGGTAATGGTACCGCCGGAAGCGATGTTGCCGGAGAACCACGAGATGTCGGCAACGGCCTTCTCGGAACCAATGTATGCGAGCGAACCCTGGTGAGAGTACTCGAAGGGACCGATGGATTTGATCCTCCTCAGCCTCTGCTGCAGAGCCTTGATCTCGCCGAAGACCTTGTCACGGGCCTCCTTGCCGGGTGCCTTCTCCTGGGCGACGGAGAGCTCAGCAAGCTCACCCTCAATCTCAGAGGTCTTGGCCATGTTGTTGAACATGCGGGCGAGGAAAGCGCCCTCCTGAGCAGCGACCTGAGCAGTGGGAGCGTAGTTGGCAACAGCGCAGTCACCGACGGCCCAGACGTTCTCAGTACCCTTGACGACCAGGTACTCGTTTACGGCGAGACCACGGCGGGAGTCCTTCTGTGCGGGGATCTGGTTGATGAGGTCCTTGACGATGGGTCGGAGAGCGTTACCGGTGGCCCAGACGAGGAGACCGTAGGGGATCTTCTCGAGCTGCTTCTTGCCGTCGGGGCCAGTCGACTCAGCCTCGATGAACTTGGGTGTGACGTTCTTGACCATGGTCTTTGTGCGGATGGTGATGGTCTCCTCCTTGAAGGTCTTCTCGGTGTAGTCGATGAGCTGCTTGGAGAACATGGGAAGGACGTTGGGGAGGGCCTCGACGAGGGTGACATGGAAGTTATCCTGGATCTCGGGAAGCCACTTCTTCAGATCGGAGTGGAAGAAGTCCTGGAGTTCACCGGCAAACTCGACACCGGTAGGGCCACCTCCGACAACGACCATGTGTAGCAGACGCTTCTTCTCCTCGTCAGACTGGTCCTTGAAGGTGGCAGTCTCGCAGCAGTCCATGATGCGGTTTCGGATGCGCTGAGCGTCGCCGACCTCCTTCAGGAAGAGACCGTTTTCCTTAACACCGGGGATACCTGTTCCATGTTAGCTGAGTTCGGGTGAGAATGGGCGGATGACGCACCGAAAGTGGCGTTCTCAGCACCAACACCAACGACGAGCATGTCAAAGGGCACCTCGGTCTGGGAGACGTCGCCCTTGATGTCGGAGTCGTCGCTGATGTAGACGACCTTCTTCTCGTAGTCGATCTTGGTGGCCTCGGCTTCGTAGTATTTGACCTGGGCCTTCTTGTGGCGCAAGAAGTTGCGGATGGGCTCCATGATGGAGCGGTGCTCGATGGTGCCGACAGTGCATGAGGGCAGAAGCGGGGTGAAGAGGAAGTAGTTGCGCGGGGAGACGACGATGACATTGTAGTTTTCCGTGTCGAGCTTCTTCAGCAGGGAGACGGAGCCCCAGCCGGTACCTGTCGCGTGTCAGATGCATCCTATGCGTGCTCAGTCATTCGTCGCTACTCACCGAGGACGACGAGCGTCTTCTTGCTTGGGTCAGGCGGCGGCTGGTCGGCGGGGTTGCGAGTCTCGTAGATGCCGTATCCGACGTATCCCAGGCCGGCGA